TTTTGTTTGTATAGCATGCCTAATTTTATTCAATTAAATATAGAAAAAAATTTTTTCGAAAAAAGTTTTTACCAAATTTTATGTCGATAGAATACTAAAACAAGTGGATGAGAAGGTGATGATCCTTCTGTCGCATAAAAATACGATCGGAGTAATATAAAAACATAATATATAAGATAATAGATTAGATGACAAATATATAATTGACAAACTAATGGTGGTAAATTCTTTTGAATTTTTGTCCATTGAAATTGTTTAAATTTAAATTTTCGTATAACTTCACCTAAGGAATATTGTTGTGTTCGTGGTAATTGAATAAAAAAACACATTCGATATATAAATAATTTATAATTAAATTTCGAACCAAAAAGTTCCACTGGTAAAACATGTTTTAACCAAACACGAATAAATTTTTGTATAGTAGAAACAGGTGTTGTCAACGAAATTAATTGATCAAGTGTAGCAGTTGGCTCAGGAATATGATGATGTGTATAGGAGAGTGGTAAACGCGTTCGACGACGAAGATAGAATTGACGATGATTTATTCGGAATTGTTCAAATATAGGTATTAGATTTTCACGAATTTGTTCCTATTTTTAATCAAAAAAATTTATGTAATCAAAATTATTCTACTTACGACTTCTTCTTTTGGTCGATGATTAAAAAATGTTTTACTAAACTCTGAAGTAAACATTGCTTCAACGAACATTTGTCCATTATACGATTTTTCAATCGAATGATATATATCAAATCGTTCAAATTTTGATACATGATAATGTACTAAATGTGTCGGTAGTAATGTTCCATATAAATCTGTTAAATGTGCTTGTTGTCCTTGTTTTGTAGCATGTAAATGAAATTGTATTGTTCTTTTTCTTGTATTCATTTTATTTAATTTTAAATTTGCTTGTTTTTTTTCGTCAGATTTTCTCATTATATAATAAGGTAAACTATAAAATGATTCGTATGTACCACTTAATTGAATAAATAATTGTCGTCTACGAGTTAAACATTCAATTAATGTAAATTCACTTAAAAGATATATTAATGCGTCATCGGAGAGAATTTTTCGTCGTTCAATCCAGATATATGATAAACAAAGATGTGATAACAATGAATTTTTGGAAATATAATCAGGATTATTTAATGATTTATTATTTTTTATATCAATATTTGTTAAAAGTATATTTGAACGATTTTTATTATAGCAATTCATTAAAAGATTAGAGATGAATATATGGTTATCATTATTATTTATGAAAGATTTTCTTTGAAGAATTTCATTCCATTGACTAATTTGATATGTTGTCATTTTTTTCGTAAAATAAATTCCACGAAACTGATTTCTTGTAGTTGAATCAAGATTAGGTATTAATTGATGAAGTGATACCAATTCTGAATAATTAGTCTTTAAAATATTCATAATTACCCGCCAAAATCTAAAATACAAAAAGAAAACGAAAATAAACTGTATTTTTTTTGTATAATATTAATTCATCTATGATT